AAAAAAAAAAAAAAAGAAAGAAAGTGGGATGAAAAATGGGCTGATGTTAGAGAGAGTCATGGGAATTTCGGGTGGGTTTGAGGAAGGAAAATAGCTTTCCCCTTTCCTCTAGGTGGATTCTGCTGCGCCAAAGTTCACAGCGGGTTCAACTGGGGCCTGGGCGGGGTCAGATCTGGGTTCCAGCTTGTCCTGGAAGCTCCGCCCCAAGAGGAAGGGCCAAGCCCAGGTTGGGGGGGGCGGGGCGCTGGCAGCCCCCTGCTGAGCCATTGGGGGTGGAGAGGGGGAGGCCAGTAACAGGGAAATGCTGAGGGCACTGGGGGAGGGAATTCAGAGGTTAAAAGCCATGGGTCCGGGCTGAAGTTGGAGGCAGCTGGCGGCGAAGCTCTGCACCCGGGCCTCTCACCCTGGTAGGGGGCGGGAGCGTCAGAGGGGAGGAGTGGGAGAGGAAGGAGAGGTGAGGACGGAAAGGAAAAGAGGGAGAACAGCTGAGTCAGGGAGATGGAGAGGGAAGCCAGAGGTTCAGTTATAGAGATAGAAATCTGCAGAGCTGGAGAGGGTAGCGAGGGGGCGGAGAGCAGCGGGAGAGGATACTGAGGCACCCGCTCGCTAGAGTGCACGGGTGGACGCGGGCGCACGCTCTCTGGAGTGCTCGGGTGGACGCGGGCGCACGCTACCCCAGCCCCTCCTACCTCCTTACGGGGTCTCCCCACCGAGGATGAAAATTAGGGAGGGGGTGCAGATTCCAGGGTCAAGGTTCTTAGTGAAGGAGATTCAAGATTGGGAAGTGCAGGAGCAGTGGTGGGGAGGAGGGGCGGCCAGAGATGGGGGTTCAGCCAGCCCTTAACCCCCACAACTTCTCAGGCCCCGCCCGCCCTGCCCCCCATCCCGGAGCCGCCATGTGGTCCCTGGCCGCTGTGATCGCCTTCCTGACCCTGGCCTTGTCAGGCGGTAAGAATGCGCGGGGGTGGAGGCGGGGTGGCCACCGGAACAATGATAGGAGGGGTCAGGCCAGGAGGAGGGGGCGTGGGAGCCCCGAGCTCCGCCCACCGCCCACTCGGGGTCGGATCCCGCGCGGACAGCCCCAGAGCTGCCTGCTTGTCCCTGTGTGACCTGGTTTCTCCGATGGGGTGAGCCCACTCTCCCCACCGACCCCAGGCTCCTCCCTGGGGCGTCCCAGATCTTCTGGGGCCCGCTCTATTTTTAAGTCTTCTGGATCTTCCCCACCCGCCCCTTCCCTGATTTCCCGCCTCTGCAGTGGGAAGCCCACTCCCACCCGCAACCCCTGCCCCTGCAGCAGGCCCCTCACATTCAAGGCCTCCCTGAGAGAGAGAAGAGTGAGACTCGGGTTCAAATCTTGATGCTGCCACTTTGATCAAGTAAGTTAGCTTCTCTGTGTTTTTTTTCATCTGTGAAATGAGAACATAGAAGTCCCTATTACAAGAGGTTGTTGTGAATATGAAAATAAGCCAGTGCACAGCTGATAGAAGGGGCTGGCAACTTAGTCATTATTACTTTATTAGAAGTACTCGCTCTTCATTCTCAGCCGCTTCCAGAACCTTCTAGTTTGTTCTTCCTTTAATCCTCGGCGTGACCCCACACCTGATTCCACCCTGAGTCGGTCCCAAATATTTCTCTTCAGTTTAAGCGCCTTTTTGCAGGCAAATTCTCTGGAAACCCCATTCAGGCGTCATCCATCCATCCATCCATCCATCCATCCATCCATCCATCCATCCTTGCAACCAGCCATTTAACCAACAGCTGTTGAGCACTAGGCACTGTGCTGGGTGTTGTACAAGTTCCTGCTCTTAACACCCAGAGCCTCGCGGGGAAGGATGCACACATTATTCAAACAATTACCCAAATAATTAGTTAATAATTACAACTGTGACGGGAGGTGATGGCTTCAAGGAGCCAAGCCAGGAGCCTAGAGATGTAATGGAAGCTCCTGGTCTGGAAGGCCCTGCCCCAAAGGACTAGACCCCTGAGCTGAGACCTGAAGAAGGGAGTAGTCCTTGGGCATCTGGCACCGGGCATGGGGCAACATCCTTGGCCTGAAGGTGGGGTGGTTTCTGCCCTTTGGCACCACTCCCAGGACTCGTGCCCATGTCTCAAGCCCCTCCTGGGTACCACGCCCTGGGCTAGGAGCTCCAATGCGTCTTGTGGAGCCCGCAACAGCCTTATGAGGTAGGAGTACTACAATTAGTCCGGTTTCACAGCTAAAAACCTGGGACTGAGACAGCAGGTCCTTCCCCAAAGACACTGGGGGTGCCTGAGTCAGGATCCTGATCATGTTGCCTGCCCTGTCTCCAGCATCCTAGACTTTAGGTTCTGGCAACCATCTTCATTATTTTAGATCTAATGGTCTGCTTAGAATCAACTTTTTTTTTTTTCTTAGAGTATATTAAAGATTTTATTTATTTATTTGAGAGATCAAGAACGAGCAGTGGGGAGGGGCAGAGGGAGAGAGAGAGAGAAGCAGACTCCCTGCTAAGCAGGGAGCCCGATGTGAGACTCGATCCCAGGCCTCGGAGATCATGACCTGAGCTGAAGGCAGCCGCTTAACCAACTAAGCCACCCAGGTGCCCCATTAACTTACAGTATATTAAAAGTAAAGTTTATATCATTGTTCTAAATGGAAAAGAGCATCCTTTGCTATAAATAATAGGTAAGAGGAAAAAAATACATCCTGCACAATGTGACAAAAACAATGTGTTTCTTGGGTTGAATCATCTTACATTCCCAGTGCTGCACCCTTTTGGACCTCCCCCAAAACAGTGACTGTAGATGGTTCAACTTAATAACTTTTAGGTTGCTGGCAAAAGGCTTCTGCTTCCTGGTTTTAAAAAGTGAGCTCAGGGGCGCCTGGGTGGCTCAGTCAGTTGAGCTGCTGCCTTTGGCTCAGGTCATGATCCCAGGGTCCTGGGATC